TTAAGGCAGACACCCCTAGCCCCGCCCAGAAGGTTCCATCTATTGGTGGGGAGCAGCACCTGCTGGAAAGCGGGTCCAGCGTCCCAAAAATACAACTTTACAGTACATCAAGTAGTTGGGCACTTTGGTCAGAAGGTTATCCCTGTGGAGTGTCTCCCTTTCCCAGCGGGCTGCATGTAAGCTCATCCCATTGAACAGCTCCCACTCATGATTGACCAGGCACCCCCCGGGGGCCCGTCCTTACTTACTTGTCACACAAAGTCGATGTCTGCACACCCCTGTTGCCAACTGCGGGCCACTACCCCAGGTATTTGCAGCCCCCAATCACTACTATGGTGAAAAATGTTGCAAAACTTATTGTATCAGCAGGAAACCCAATTTGATCTGGAGTGTTGCAAAAGATATTGTATCAGTAGGAAAACCCAATTTGACTTGGATATGTCTAGCGGGGAGGGGTGGGCCGTGGCTGTGCATCTTGGGATGCAGCACACCCCTCCACAGGGAGCCGTTGGGGCCCAGTCATGTCGGGCCATTAGGAAGTAGCAATGTCACTCGCCGATGCCACCATTTCTTGTGTATCCGCGCTTTCATCCTTCGTCACTTGCAGTTGCACCAYGTGTCGTTCCGCCCCCAGCGAGGCTGTAGCAGAAAGGAGGGAACAGGGTACAGGGTTGAGGGAGGAGGGGCAAGGGACATAGCACTGGGGATGGAGGGGGCTAAGAGGGAGAGGCGGGAGGACGGGCGGGACGAGGCGGGGTGTTTGAGTGTGTGGTACAGCGGCGCGTTATCATGTCAGCAGAACAAAGTTGGGTTGCAAGAAAGGGACTTGAAAGCAGTGGAAGGCTTTCCTTTGCCATTGCGGCTCTGTGGCCGTTTCTCGATTTATGTGTGTCTTCCTTTTTTTTTTTTTTTTTTTTTTCTTGAGATAATGACTGAGTGAGGGGCTGCAAAAAATCCTGCGTCAGACCATCTGCTTCTTCCTTGCGCAGGGGCCATGCTAATCTTCTCTGTATCGTTCCAATTTTAATGGATGTCCCGAAGGACATTATTTAACGCTTCTAGAGAGGGGATAGATGGAAAAGGACAAGTGCAATTGACAGAAGAAGGGCATATATATATTAAAAAGAAAAGAAAAAAAAAAGAAGGGCAAATAACTTTCTCGGCCTTTGGCTAAGATCAAGTGTGGTATCTGTTGATTCTGTTCTGATCAGTTTCATATCAGTACAACAACCCAAAAAAAAAAGAAGGATGGAAAGCCAAAAAGGGGGCAGATGGGCGAGCCAGCGGGTGCCGCTAGAGAGCTACGGGTACCCTGGCCTCGGCGGCTAGGGTTGAACCGCCGAGGGCATAGCGGTGATGGCAGAAGCTGTTGGTATGGAAGACAGATGCTCAGCCTGGACACGAGAGGGAGAAGGGGTGAAGAGGTGGATAGGAGGGAGGAGGTAAAAGCGAGTGGAGAAGAGAAGTAAAGGAGGAAGGGGCAGAGTCGGCCTTCACTCAAGGTCAATATTAGGGGATGGTCTCCACCCTCAGCTGGGTGCATTTAGCAATATACGAGCTATCCGCCGGCGCCGCATCACCAGACAAGGCAGGAAGAAATCAACAACAACCAAACACGCAAGTGACACACAAGACAAGGCGAAGCATGAGAACAAAGGGGTAATCCTGTCTCCTTAAAACATTGGGGGTTGGTTTTTACCCGATTTATTCCCAGTTACTGAGGCTGTAGGTAGGAATTGTGTGAAGCGTTTGTTTGTTTTGATAGTGGGAAAGTTTTCTTTCTTGATTTAAGTTAAGTTCTCTTCATTGTCAAAGACTGTATGACGACCTCGGAAACCAACGATGGGGCCACGTCCATGTCCCAGGCCGAAAATACCAAATCAAGGGCATCCTGTCGGATTGCTACAACGAGGGCCTCCTACCAGAAGAGCTTGTTTCCGGGAAAACACCATTTCTGTCTTTTTTGGAAATGACTCCTCATTGCCGATCAAAGTCAAAATTCGACTCATTCGTATGTACGAAAACGGTTGGGGGAAAAGCAAGGCAATAGATGCCCCCCCCCAAGAGAGGAGTATTCCACAATGAAGGGTATAATTTAGTGACATATGTTGCCTCATCCCCAAAAATTGTTGAATGGATGCTTCGAAAGAAGAAAGATAAAATTGTCTTGGATGGGAAAACGTACTCAATTTCCTTTCGCACTTGGATATCGGAGAACGATCTGTTCGATTGGAGAGAAGCCCATAGGTATAGGTTTTTCTGGGTATTGGAGAGAAGCCCATAGGTATAGGTTTTTCTTTAGTTACATTCTAGTGGCCGCTCTGCCGTATGTGGCAGCAGCAGTCAAACAGGCCTTTGGGGCAATCTTGAAGAAGCATGGTACGTACACAGAACCAACCTCACCCGAACTGAAGAACGTTCGTTTTGACCTCGAACCCAGGACCCGCATCCATTATAAACCTTATTTAATAATTGATATGGGGAAAGGGGCGTATGTAGAAATAGAAGTCGTGCATGCACAAACACCATGGTGTAAAGTGTACAGGCAACACTTCCACTCCGAAGAGAACAGTACATGTTCTGCAAAAGCACCCCAGAATCAGTCGAACCAATCGGCTCAGGTCAAACCCTCGGATCAAACCTCCAGCAAGGGAGAAAACGAGAAGGACAAAGACTCACGTGACTCCGGACAACCAGGTAAGGAATTTCAGGGCAGGAAGGGGTTGGAGGAAGTTCAGGAAGATAGGTTATCGAAAGAGGATGGAGGTCTGCCAGCCTCCCAGTCGAAAGAAGGAGAGGACCAGATGGATTGGATGGGTCGGTGAATGGGGGGCAAAAGATGGCCGACAAGGAAACCAAGGAAACAGAGGGAGAGCACTCGCCAAAGGGTCAACAAGGGGATGTTGAAATGAAGTCCGCGTCTCCCTACCAGGATGCACTACTAAAACCACAACCAGAAGATAAGCAAAAGAAAAGAATAGCGGAAGTCAAAAGGAGGAAAGGGAAAAAAGGGGCTCCCACAAAGGTGTGGAGACGAAATCAGAAGGCAACTTCCTCAGATAACGCAGACCACCCATCGGAGCAGGGTCGTGAACATCTG